TTTATGTAAACATAATAAAATTCTAAAGGTAAAGTATCTAAGATACACAAACCAAGTAAACATAATACACTGTTCTCCTTTCCGACTCGTACAAGTGAAAGAGAACAGGTGAACTAGTTACTAGGTGGGAATACATACTAATACCTTTTAGATTTTAGTTATGTTTACATCAAAAAATAATTCTACAACGAATGTAATAGTGACACATATAGGGTAAGTTTGCAGAAAATTTCAAATTGTTGGAATGTGTCGATATGCTGACACTTTTACACTGAAAATTAAAGGCTCATTTTATTTCAAATAAATGATTAAGAAAAAAATATATGAACTACTTGACAGTTTAGGTCTGTAAAACCTTCAAGTATGCAAAATTTTACGAATTCTATGCGTGGCATTAAGTACTATAGAAAAAAGCAGTATCAGCCAACAAAGGCACTTCGCGGCGACCAACATGAACACACTACCGTTACGCCGCGACGTCCGAACACCCGCGTAAAAAGAGGAAAACAAACATTGTCCTTCAGTCACCAGGACGATTCCTCAATATTTTCATTTCAACGTTGAGAAAGAAGTATCTCTAAGCGCGCGTGACAAGTACCGACGGACACCAGAAACACCAGTAACGGAGCAATCCTTCCAAGCATACAGGCATCGCTTTACCTGATAAGCTGCGTGGGTCAAATACGAACTGAAAAGGATGCCCAATTACTCGGCCCTCAAGTCCCGTCGTACATTTTTCCCGGCACGCTAAGAGACGCTCCCACAAAGAGACAGTTCTCCTACGAGGTCTCGGAAATAAAGTTCCTACGAGGCAGTAGCTCGGCGGCTTCCTGACAAGTTTGCAGGCCGAAGGACCTTAAGATGGCTCGGTCGCAGGAAGCAATCGCCGTACAGCTCGACGGTACACAATAGGAGGTGCCAGAATTTTGGGGACGAAACGCGATACGGTTAAGGGTTTATTTAGACACCGCCTTTTAATTCCGCCATCCGAGAAGTCTACCCTGGGACGGTGCAACGAGCGGACGAGGTGAGAGCAAAAGGCTTACGTCCGATTTCCAAGAACGACAAGACTTTTTCTGCACTGAGCTTGACAAGGGATGTCTTCGTAGGAGCTGTAATTTTGGGTCCAATAGATCTAACTCTATCCTTTCCTCCAAACTTGGAAATAAAAGGAAAAAATCCTTGGACCTGAAAGGAAAGTCTTCTTTCCTTACCCTTGTGCTAAAACTGGCTTATCATAGTATTCAACCAGTGAAATTCCCTGCATCTCTCCCACGAAACGACCACCCGCCTCGCAACAATGACTTTACTAGTATTTACTTGTCCACACTATCCCCCCCAACCGACTCCCGCACCAAACGCACTTACGACAATTACTCACCCTACCCCACGGCCACACCCCATTCTGATCCGCGTCCCCTATCGTCAACCACCAGCCCCACCTCACCCCACTTCCCCCCACCTTCTCCCCTCACCCCCTCACCATCCTCAGACCGCCCCATTCGCCGCGTTCTCCCCCCACCTCAACACCTTCTCCCTGCCGCCTTCGCTCCCCCGTTACTGCGTACCCAACGCCCGCCCAACGCAAGAGCCCAACTATAAATGCCTACCAATCCGCATCCCTCCGCGCTTCCACCCACCGATCCGTGTTGAGCCCCTTATACCCTCCACCCTCCACACAACCTCCCTCCGCTTCTCCCCAAAAATAACCCTGATATGGTCATGTGTGACGAAAAAACCCCCCCGCCTCCTCTCCCCCCCCAGAGCGCCGAGGCAAACAACCAACTCTTCCTCTCACAAACACAATCAATCGAGTCGCAATCTCCCGTCGTTTACCATTCCCGCCCCCCCGACCCCTGACATACTCAAGGCCTATCTCCCCTCGCCCCCCCCACCACCAAGAGAAAACCCACAGAACCATCACTACTGCATCGCCATCAGCCCACACGGAAACACATTTGTTGACTTCCAGCACACTCCTTATCCCCAACCTATTGGGGCACCTCTCACCCGTCGCTACCGCCTTCGCTCCTGACCTCCCTCCTCACTTGTGAATACAACCACCTTCCGTCCCTCCCCTCAATAACCTTTCTCACAAAGCAACCATCCCTCCTGGCGACAAACACAAGCGCGGCGCCGCTCCCCCAAAGTTGGTTCACCTGGGTCAACCCAACACACCACTACGCATACTTGTCCACGTGTCCTTGAAGAAATACCCCAACCTAAATTATTTTCCTTTCACTTGAATACTAACACAGTGGGAGGGGAGCCCGTGAAATTAAATGTTTAATAAGGTTACTAACAATACTTGCTACCCCCCCCCCCCCAAAAATAGATTGCCCCACGCTGACACAAGGCGCGAATTCTCGCTCATCGCTTCCACACTCTCCTCCCCTCCCGCACTACTTCCTGCACATCAAACACTCCAAGCATTTTATGCAATTAGAATTAAAACCCCCCCAAATCCACACTCCGCACCTTCCTCTGCCCGAAATAAAGAGGTCGTTCAGTGTAGCAAATTACGGAATTACAGCTTGAAAGTACTAGATAAAGAGCCAGGCCACAAAGGAAAGGAAAGGAAGCATTCACTTTCCAGTCACAAAGATTGAATTTCCTCGTAAATTTCTTTCAAAGTGCCCCCCCGCTCCCATGCTCCCCCAACGCGCCTCCCCTAACCCCCCCATCCTGACAGAGGCCGTGGAAGGAAGTCTCATCCCTCTAGGAGCGTAAGCCTTTGCTTTCCACCTCGTCCGCTCGTTTCACCGTCCACAGCGGATACTCCGGGGCGGAATAAAAAAGACGGCTGAAAACCTATTAACCAGGGTACCGCGTAAGCACGCTACCTCCCCGGCTCCTCCTCCACTCGCGCTCAACCGCCGGCCGCGTCCCACCCCGCAGCTTCCGCGGACCAGCCATTTAAGTTCCTCGGACTGCAACCTG